ATAAGAGCATCGACTCACTTTTCTACTAGCACACACTTTACATCTCTTTTAGGACAGTCACTCCCACATCTACTACTAGTAGTACTAGTAGTATGGCAAATAAGTCATGCACAATGCTCACTCAAAGCCCCCTTTTGTTTGAAGTGTTGTCCGTAGGATAAGGGAGAAGCAAAGAGTTTCTTTTAAAGATGATATTGTCTTGCGGGCAATGTCATCTTGCTTCTTTGTTAAGGACCAATGGGAAACTCTATTTTCAAGAACAGTCAAGTACAGGTACTGCTAGTACTAATAGTAGTACTAGTAGGTTTTGATTAATATGAGTTAAGGGTCACACCAAAGCGTTGCTACTGGCTGAATGTATCATACCTACAGTACAAAAAAAATCTCAATTGATCAATGGAACAAGTTAAAAATCACAGAGAATTCACTAGCAAGTAACACAGAGTGATGAGATCTGGCTTGATCCATTGATCAATTTTGGAGCTTGCTCTGACATTTTCAAGACGTTGGAGCTTACTCCGGTATTTCTGAGACAAAGTTTCTGAGCTGCTGGAAACCACACTCCGAATGCTAATAAAAAGCTAAACAAGATGGAATCTGGCTTGTGCTAATAAGTGTGGGAGTGACTAGTAGTAGTATATAATAGTGATGCAAATCAAGTGCCAGAAGAAAAGTGAGTTGATGCTCTTATCGAGGATCAAGGAACTGTGGATTCTAAAATTGATCAGAATGAAGATCAAGTGATGTGTGAATCAAATGAGTCAAGTCAGTCATGTGAGTGAATCAAATGAATCACGTCAATCATCTGGATCCATAGGATTGAATGAGTTGTGAATGTAGAGTGTGTATGAATTGTAGATATGTGTCATATGTGGTATGTGTTGTAGATATAAATAATACTCGCAATCTGATATCCTTGTGGGAGTGACTATCTAATACTAGTGATGTAAATCGAGTGCTAGAAGAAAAGTGAGTTGATGCTCTTATCGAAGATTGATGAACTATGAAATCTAAAACTGATCCTCAGAATGAAGATTGAGTGGAATGTGGATTGAATGAGTCAAGTCACTCACGCTAGTGAATCAACTAAGTCATGTCAATCATATCATGGATCCATGGGATCAAGTGAGTTGTCATATATGTACTGTATGGTGTGTATGAATCATAGATACATGACATATGTATGTGTTGTAGATATGAATCATACCTACGATCTGATATCCTACTGACAGCAATCCTATGGACAGCAATACTAGTAGTAAGCATACACTCATACACCAGAATGAGAGATCCAACCAACAAGACTCTGATTAAATTTCAATCTGGCATCCCAACAACAAGTGCCCCTCACCAAGCATCTGCTAGCAGCTCTTGCCAACGCAAATTCAATTCTGAATCTGACAAGGCCGCATACTTGAGAGCAAGCCTGGTGGAGGCAAGCTGCTGCTTTCAAGCTGCAACTGCCTCTGGGCCCTTCATCCCATCAATGGAGTAAACAAGAGGTGTGAAGTGCCTGTGGGCCTGAGGACAAGGGTCCTGATAATTGTCCTTCTTCTTCTCTTGCTCTTGGGACTGGAGCACAGGCAGTGTAGCCTTTGTGTCATAGTAGGAAGATGCATCAGTATCAGTGATTATGTTCCTCGCTTCCAAAATCTGTGCACTGCGAGATCACCTCGGAGGTCTCGTTGTGGCGGTGGGGTGGTGGTTCCTCGCTTCCAAAATCCGTGCACAGCGAGATCGTCTTACTAGTACTAGCTAGTAGTAGTAGTATCTGGGCGTTCGTTTTGACGCTCTTGATCGAAAACAAAAGGAGGGCCCGGAATCGGAAAACTTTTTTCAAAATAATTTCTCGCAGCCTCGACATGACCAATGGATTTGTGGTTTCAATAAAGTAATTTTTTGGAACCGGTTAGAGTAGTGTACCGAAGGAACGGTGCTCGTACGTACTTGCCGTCCTTACACGAGCACGTTGAATGAGAAACAATTACATTGCGATCTCACATCAAGAATAACTTCGACGAAGGGACCGCACAAGCATACTAGAGAAGTGCAGTGAAAAGATAGGGTACTCGTCATGTCGGAAGAAGAATTGAAAAATTCCCACAAAAAGGCTTTAAAGTCTTTGGAGGGTGAAAAAAGAGCGGCCGTTAAAAAAGCCAAAGGAATGAAAGGAAAGAAGGGAAAAGAAGCTTTGGCAGCAGTTGAGGCCGATTTTGCTACCAAACTGAAGGCGCTCGAGGCATCTTATCAAGAGAGTTTGGCATCATTATCATTGGAATCCCTTAACATATCTGCGGATAATAACCCTGGCAATGCACAAGAAGTGTCTGCATCAGATGACAAAAACGACGATTACGACGACGAGGCGGCAGCACGGGAACGAAAAAGAGCGAAGGCCAAAAAGAAGAGAGATCGTCAAAAGGAAAAGGAAGCTGAACTTGAGAAGCAAATCGAAGAAGAAAACGCCAATGCTGGCCCAGGTCTCAGAAAAATTGAACTAGAGCAGATCCAAGCTGTTTTGACGCCCCTGAAACTAAAAGTTAGTGAAGTGGACGCCGACGGGCACTGCTTGTATCGGGCCGTAGCAGCTCAGTCGGATAGAAATCACATGGCAATTCGTAAGTCTCGGGGCTTTCAGGCTATGGGACCTTTATCTTTTATCTTTGCGGGATGAGTTCAGATCTTTGTTTAATCGCTTTTTGCCTTCTCATTTACGATCACCGAAATTTTATCGCTTGTTGTTCGATGGTTGTTGCAATAAACAATATAGGATCACTATGTGCAGATACACTGGCAAAACATCAAGAAGAATTTGCTCCGTTTTGTGAATACACAAATGAAATTTCCACGTTTGATGAGTACGTGGAAAAGGTTCGAAATAGTGCAGAATGGGGAGGACATTTGGAGTTACGGGCCTTGGGAATTGCGTTGGGTCGCCCAATCTATGTGTATTCTGTTCAATCTGGAGCAAAACCACTTGCCATTCACGAGGATACCGACAACGAAACAAAAATGCGAGAACCTATCTTATTGTCTTATCATTTGCATTACTATGCTTTAGGTGAACATTACAACCAAGTTGTCAAAGATTAGGGCTTGTAATTTGCATAAAAAATCAAAATTGTTGAAAGGCATGTCGAAGTGGACTCATATAGCATAATACTTATTTGCTTTGTTTCAGAAAATTGTTTATCACTTTTGCAGTACTTGTCTTAAACAGTTTCAATGATAATGATATGGTACTTCCATGCTGTGCATTTGCAGAGACGTTTTGAAATTACACTAGTAGCAAGCTTCCTCCCCTTGAAACCAACAAAGTTCCAGAAGATCCTGAAGATCCTGACAGGCCCTGCTTCTATGAGATTCATCACTTTCAAGACACCTCATTCTTGAAAATAGTTACTAGTAGTTGTTGCACAGAAGAACAAGAAGCTGGTGGTGGTGGCATTGTTGATGATGATGATCCTCATGGTGTTTGGTAGCACTAGTAGAAACATGGTGAATGTGACCACTGTGAACAAGTAAAAACTTGCTATTTTAGAGGTCTTTCTCCCATTTTTAGTTGCCAAGCAGATAGAGGAGGATGACTAGTACTAGTACTACTACTAGTACTACTAGCAATACTAGGCTTTTTTGTTGGTACTAGTTTTGGTTTGCAGGTTTTTCCTTCCATTCTTTAAATACTAAAAAATTTTAAAATGTAAGAGAGAAGTTACAATTTTTCACTTGCGTCTAGCTAGTAGTAGTAGTACCTAGTATACATCATACAGTACTACAAACACCCAATTTTTGTATCCCACATCTCAAAACGGTCAAAATTGGTGTGGAACCTACTTAGGTTATAGTAAGCTTATTTGTACCACTCCATTTATCACTGTACTTACATGTGTTACATATTTTGTAGTAGGAATTCTACTGTGCAACTTTACCAAATTGTCTGTTTTGGTTGTTTCTGCTGTACTTCTTTTGGTTGCTCAAAACAGTATAAAATGTGTGCAGAGGAGTGCAACCATTTTGCAACTCCATCTCTTATTGATTCACAAGGAGAGGTGCAAATTAGCAAAGTTAGCTAAAAAAATAACTCCTAATCCATATGCAGAAATTGTAAGACAACAACTACAAGCAAAAATCCCAACAGCAAGCAACAAGAAAAGAGCAAACAAAGGAACAGGCAGCAAATGGTAGTAGCAGTGCAACAAGAAGGAGGAGTAACAACATGTCATCCCCAGGCTCAGAGAAGAAGGGGGGATCTGTCACGCCTCCACAAGATGTAAATCAGCAAGTGCAATGGAGGAAGTATTAGAAGGACTGGAGTTACTGACAAATGACTTGCTGCTTCTGTAGCCCCTGCTACACTAGAAAATGTTTTTGGGAATCTGGTTGCTGTTATCCTTGACAACCCATTGCTAGTATGGGCCTGTTTTGAGCCATCAATGGAAGCCTCTGGATTACTACTTTCACAAGATGTAAAGAGTGATGTAATTGCTTCATGGGCTCAACTAGTAAACTGCAGACACCCAGTTGCTGATAGATTGGATCCTGATGTGAATCCTATAAAGTGCATTAAGGTTATCACTAGTAATGAGATCAGTGGAAAGGTCCACTTTGATGATGAGCTTATGGATCTAGATGAACACCTTGATGGTGGTGGGCTTGGTGACGGAGGAGGTAGAGTCCCTGTACTAGCAGCCAAAGGCACTGCCATTGGGAAATATAGGACTTGCTCAGTTGCACCAGTGGAATTGCACCATGTTCTCCAGCAAGCTGTTTGTAACAGCTAATGAAGAAAATGATATTAAGAACATGCAGATTGCCACTGAAGCAAAGTTGTACTAGAAGCTCAATAAAGCAATCAAGTAATCTCAAAGAGCTGCAATGACACCAGTCATAAGAAGACAAAGGAGGCCCCAGGCTGTAAACAGTGGCACATTGAAAATTGGTGCAGGGACTGAGGGAGCAGCTGAGCAGTCAAAGTATCCTCATGACCTGTACTATATCCTTTGGAATGAATGGGAAGTAGGTGTTGGCCTTAACAAGCCTGCTAAGGATTTCACTGCTGCTGAGTGAGGGCGTTTGAAGAGCAAGTGCAGTGTGTGGAAACAGTAAAAAAGGCTCCTTTGGTACCTCTCTTGTGTATATGTTAACTGAGGAGAGTGCTTGTTTGCTGCTTGTTGCTATCCTCATCAACAAGGGAACCATGGTGATAGTAGCTGACACCAGGAGGAGAGTTGACATGACAAAGTGTTGTGATGATTGGCAAGAATTACCTTCACAATTTCTGTTTTTCCATAGAATTTGCTTTGTACATGATCATGTGGTGAGTACTTCTCATCAATCATCACAGTACTCTGGCAGTCCAGTCTTGCCACACTAGTACCTTATGGGACCTATGTGTACTTTGTAGTACTACTACATCCTACAGGGTTGATATTTTAGCTATATTTTTGTCGGGTACTCATCAAGTACTTGTTCCTCCTTCCAGATATAGATGTACCCCACAGTACACCTCTAATAGTGAAATATGCTCAATATTTGGGCAAGCGGAATGCTTCTTTTGTGCTAACAGATCTATTATAGCTACTGCATTCATTTATTTATGAAGATTGCATGAAGTGAGAGCATCTGGCATACTTCTTGCAATAACTATTCAAAAGGGGCCCATTTTAGCATATAAATGTGATTTTACTGTCAATTTTGCTACTAGTATAGGGTTCTTTTAGGCATGCAAGTTGTTGCAGCTATAACAACAAAGCAAAGACTGAGGGCTCTATCATGATAGTATTTAAATTCTCAGTATACTTCTACTAGAAAATGTTTTTGTATCAATCATTCTTGTTGAAAAGAGGTTCACTGTACCATTGTCAATATTTTAATTGATGTGTAATTTCATCTGCAAGAAGAATTTTTTTAAAAATCATGCGCATCACCATGTTCATTTCTAGTCTCAAGTAGTACTAACTCTAAACATGATCTACACAGTCATTCATTGGGTGATTCCCGTAATCACAAAATCTATGACCACAGCGTCTATGACTTAACAGGTGACTACATGATAGATTTGTGAGTCAAAGAATAGTATGTCTCGCTACATTTGCTAAATTTGCTGGAATACTACTACTAAGGAATTTTGCTTGATCGAGAACACATGGTACCAGCAAGCAAAGACACCCACATAGCTTAAGAATTCTTGAATCCCAGATTGCAAAAAAGTATGTATGCATGTACATACTTTTGGTTGGTGATTTGAGCCTCTGACACCCAAAAATCAATGTATTTGTGTCAAAAACACATACTTCTACTAGTATGTGTGCACGTCTGAAGTCTAATTCAATTTTACTGAAATCTATGTTTATGGAAATCACCCATTGAATTCGACCATTGAAACCATGAAGTAAATATGGTAGGGGACACTCTTTATGGCCAAAATGGTCATAGGGAACATCTATTTCTGGACAGAGGAAGTACTAATACTGGTATGAGTTTGTACTTTGTGTTTCATCAATAGGTGATTCCCGCAAACATATTTCGAGATATGTTTTCAGGAAGCACTTTCAGTGGTACTGAAGGCACAGCCGGCCGGCTCAACTTACATATTTTCCCCCCATTTCTGGAATTTGGAATCCGTATATATGAATCCGTATAGTATATTTAGTGCGCATGCCCCCAGTCACACTAAAAATCTAACTCAAGGATTCCAATAAAAAATATGTCAAATACACAGATCCTGGTTGTCGTGGGCCCACGACAACCAAAATTTATGTAATTCGATACATAAAACGAGTCGGCCGGCCTCATTTTTACATATTTCTAGTATGTTTGCGGGAATCACCCAATTACTTGAAATTCGTACCGGTGATATAAAACTTACGTACGTATCATACCGTACGGTACTAGGATACGAAGTCATAGAGTGCCAGATTGGAAAGTATGTACAAGTACGAGTACGTACCGTACAGTATTATGATACGTATTACCAGAAAATAGAAAATATGTGACAAAATATTCGCCAACGCGAACTTAAAAATAGAATTCTTCACTAAAATGGCGCCCGTCGGGAATTATTCTCTAATTATTCTTAAAATTTGATCCCACTCCTCGCTGATTTTCAAATATCGACAAAACACAAAAAAATTGATTTACGACATTTCGTCGCCAACAACGAACGAGACCATCGATTTGGAAAATCCTTCCAAATTCTATCTCGCATGTGCAGGACGCGACAACATCGCTTGTGTCACAATACTACCACTATCGATAGAAACGAATATTCCAAACAGCTCCATCGACAACAAAAACTTCAATAGAACACTTAATTGTCAAGATGGTAGCGGAAACAAAAATTGAAAACCTCCCTTCGGAGATGGGAGAGGAAACCACAGTCGAAAACGGCGACGACGGAACCATCAGCAGCAAAGTCTTGGGATCAACTTTTATGAAGACTCTCTTCGCACCCTTCGAATCCAAAGAAGAAGACAAAAAAGAGAGTGAAACTGAAAAAGAAAGTGAACCTGAAACAGAAGCTGAAACCGAGACAGAAGCCGAAGCCGAAGCCGAAACAGAAGCCGAAGCCGAAACAGAAGCCGAAGCTGAAACAGAAGCCGAAACAGAGACTGAAGAAAGCACTGAAGAGACTAGCGAAGAACAGGAAAAAAGCGAGACCGTTAGCGAAAGCGAAACCGAAGAGAGAGAGTTTGACAAGAACCCGACTGTGTTGTACGCACTTGTCCAAAAGAAGCTATGGAAGGAGACAATCGCACGCGCAAAGAGTAATCCTAAGGAAGCCCGTGCTTTCATCTGCAGAAGAGAAAAGGACGGAAAAATTCGTTGGCGTCTTCTACCGCTCCATGCTGCTGTAGTTTTCAAAGCTCCAGAAGAAGTCATTGAAACCCTTCTCGAAGCTTTCCCCAAGGCATCGGAAGAGAAGGATGATCAGGGAATGCTCCCTCTTCATTTGGCCTTCCGCAACGGAGCTTCAAAGGGAGTTGTGAACTTGTTGTTGATGGCATTCCCTCAATCCGTAGAAAGCCCAGATCGCAAGGGTCGTGTCCCCCTCACACTGGCCAAGGCCGCAGCATCTCCCAACCGCGAAATGTACATCGAGGCTTTGGAAAAGGGACCTTCCCATTACGCCGTCACAGCAATGGCTTGTGCCCGCGAACGAATTCTGGCTGAACAAACCGCGCTCTTCGAAGCCAAGATGGTTCAGACTTGCCAAATTCACGAATCCACTTTGGCTGAAATGAAGGCAAGCGCCGAAAAGCAACAAAAGGAACTTCAAGACAAGATTTCGGAGAAAGAGCAAGAACTCACCAAAATCCACGAAAACTCTCAAGTTTTGGTTGACCATGTCGGCTCTCTGGAGGCCCAGATGAACACACGATCCGACACGGAACGTTTCTTGGCCACCAAAATTGCCAAGCTTGAACAGAACATCAAGCAAAACGGTATCGACAAGGAAGAACGAGAACAATTCTGGCAAAAAACGCTTGCTGCGAAGGAAGAAGAGATGGAAGCAGCCAAAAAGGTTCAGGGCGAACGTGAGCTCGAAATCGAGGGAGAGAAGACCAAGTTCACTACCGAGAAAGAGACCATCGAAACAAAGATGAACCAGACCGAAAAGGATCTTGCTTCTACTCGAGACGAACTGGCGCAAGCCATCGAAACAATGAAGAACAAGCAATACGACTGGGATGTAAAAGAGAAGGAGACGGCAGAAAAGATCAGCGAGCTTGAACGCGAATTGGCCAACTCGAATGCGAATGGTGCAATCCTAGATTCTCAGCTGAAGAAGCGAATGGAGACTGAGCACTTCTTGGCTTCGCAAGTTAGTTCTTTGGCAACTCGACTGGCAGAATCCTCCGAGAGCCAAATGAAATTCAAGAAGCGAATCGAAGAGCTCGAAGTAGGAGAACTTTCCTACACAACCAACACCGATGCTCTGAAGAAGAGACTCGCCGATGTCACCGCCGTCATGGAGAGCACGCGCAAGCACCAGATGTCCATCTTGGACGATGCGATTACACAAGAAGAGATGATGGTCAGGACCATGGAAAACCATGCACAGAATGTTTCGAAATCCCTCGAACACGAGAAACAAATCGAAGAGACCAAGGCAGAGATGATGGCCCTTATCGAGAAGTCGTTTGCCGCAATCAGTGAAAAACACAGCGCAAACTTCGCCGCCGTGTCGGAGCAGGGCAACTTCCTGACCAACATGAATAACTCTCGTGGATCCATGCTTTCTTCCGTGAAAACCGTGACCACGGACGTAATGGAGGCCCTTACCGTTGAAATGAACCTGAACGCCGCAGAGATGGAACAGGCTGCCAAGGAAGCCCGAGCCGAGGCGGAACTAGCTGCGAAGGAAGAACAGGCTACCGAGGAAGAACCCGCCAAGGAAGAAACCGCGGAAGTGGTTGTGGCGCCAACGAAAATTGTGGCCGTCGCACCTACTGTTGAGACCGAAGCCGTCGTCGCAGAAGAAGGAAGAGCCGACCAGGACGAGGTTCGACCCGAAGAACCCGTCAACACCAGCCGCATCACGGCGGAGTAAGTAGAGAGTGACAGAAAGGATGTCACGAAACGAGGGCGGGCTCTGACGGTGATCACCGTTATGAATACGATTAGTGGAAATTAATTCAAAAACCTATCACCGCACCTCCAGTGAAAGATTAGTGCTTGGCTGCTTTCGGTGTAAGAAAAAGGGTGAATGATAAACTCAATCCAAGCACGACGATCACACAATTTATATGTTTCACATAATAATTCAATTTAATAGTACAAAAAGAAGTAAAAGTTAATGTTCAACAAAATTTGACTCAAGTCATTGTTACTACCTACTATTAATAGATCAGCCACAGCAGATGCGATTGTCTTTCAACAGTTTCCATCGTCTGTCCTTCCCTACCGCTACTGCTGCTACTGCTGCTACAAGTACTACTACTAGTAGTACTACCACTACTAGTAGTAAGTGGATCAGCAAAGAACAAGAAGGGGATCACTTATCACTAGTATTAGCACAGCACCACTATTAGTAGCAGTACTAATCCATCATCCTCTTGAAGTTGGCCCCAAGAACCCTGGAATTGCAGTAGGAGGGAGAACGGGAGGAAGAGGATTCTTCTTGTACTAGGTGGACATCTTCTTGCTCATCCTATTTGTCTTTCTTTCTTCTTGTTGTTGTTTCTCTTCGCCTTCTTCTTCTTCCTCCTGCTGCTGTCCCACCAGCAGGAGGCAGAGGAGGAGGAGCAGCAGCAGCAGGAGGGCACTGGTAGTACTAGTAGAAGTCCCTCAATTTGTTCTTCTTTTAGTATTACTATTACTACTGCTAGTACTATGAGGTACAAATCCAAATGAGTGGATCAAATCTGGATCAAGTGATGAGTAGATTAAAACACTCTGGTTTTGATTCAACAGGAGCTTCTTGCTTTGCTTGCTTGCTAATGCTGCTGGTGACAAAGGAGGACCAAGAATCAGAATTAGAGGAGTCTGTTAGATGGAAGAGGTTTTCTTGTTTCTTCTTTCCATAGATGTGTAGTATATTGCTGGTTGTTTTATTGGCAGAGAAGATCCTTTTCCGATTTGTTGATTCTTACTGGTACCACTCACTCTGTGCACTGAAAATAAAAAAAACTCCTCATCATGCAATGATTAGTAAAACGTCCTCCAGGATAGGGACCTGTCACACCCCCTAGTAGATGGACCATCAAACAACACTTTCCGGTCCACACACTCACTGGAATGACTTCATGATCAAGGATGATCGATCGACCGAGTCCTTTAGAAGCAACAGTAGTACTATTACTTCTAGTAGTACTAGTACTAGATCTAAGCAGGAACCTCGTAGTACAAGTACAGGTAGTATCGTGTTCTGGTCCCCTCCATCTATCCTATCCCAATTTTCCCCTCGAGTTGCCGGTGATTGAAAACTATTTCTGTGCCGCAATCCGGCGTTGGTGTCGTTCGGTTTCTTCGGACTCGACGCCCATCGGCATTTTTTTGAAACGAACCTTCGTGCTTGCCGCCTCTCGCGCGGGGCATCTCCGTGGCCTCCGTTTCCTAGGGGGCCGTAGGGTTTGAATTCATTCGGTGGCTTCGTCCGACTCCTCGTTTCGATACTACCGTACGGTACGTAGCGGGCAGGTTCGGCACAGCTCTGCGCTACGCTGAGTACACGTGTCGTTGCCTCTCGTAGTCCCGACCCCAGTACAGATGTTACGAGATGGTACGGTACATAAATAAAGGAAGAAAACAATATGACATTTAGTGCGGTCGGGAGAACGGTACCGGCCGGTACAACCTGGTACGAACAATACGGTACCGTACGAGTCCGGTTGGGAAAAAGCAGGCCTTTCTGCTACGAAACCGTTCGGCGGCACCGTACTACGGTAGGGCATCGTACCGGTACCCCCCATCAAAAATCAAAAAGAAGTCATCCTTCAACCGCACGAGTACGTACGTTCACTACTGTACGGTAACCGTACCCTACCGTACTCGTGATTGTTACAGTACGAGTAGTACCGTATTACAGTATTTTTTAATTTTTAATTACAGTACGTATTCTTGAGTTTACGGTATTGTTCGGTCTCTGAATTTTTACCGTTAGACCATTGTTCTGTTTCGGTTGTGCTATATCGCAGCATAGCATATACCCCCACCGGAGTCCCTGGACAAGTTCGGTGCCCGGCAACAGGTTCGCGTCCGAAACCAACCAACCCCCGCTTGTTCCCAGACAAGCAAGCTAAGCTAAGCTACTACACACAAGTTCCTTCCGCTCTGGTTCGGGCCATCCAAATCGCTCCCTTGCATCCCATCCCATCGCGCCGCATTGCATCGCATCGCATCGCACACCGCGTCTCGCATCACACCCCATCGCACACCGCGGTTTGTCACGCATTTCATTCCATCGCACCATGACCAACCCTCCCGCCGGAGCAGCTACGCCCAGCCGCAACCCCGCCCGGCACAACTATGCCAACACCCACACCCCCATCGCTAGCGCCAAGAGGCCCCGATCCAGCATGGACAAGTCGGCCCTGAAGAACCGCACGGCGGGCCTTTCCGTCCCGTCCACCCCGCTGGGGAAGTTTGGGAGCGCGGATGCCAACGGCAATGGAAACGACAGGGCCGACGCCCCCCTGACCCCGGTGCCATCGATGGTGACGACGCAAAGCGTCTCGTCCCCCGTGGCGTCGACGCCCCGTGCCATGGACCGAGCGAACCTCAGTCCGATGCACCCGGCCCGCCCCACGATTCGCTCGGAAGAGGAAGACTCCGATCGGGTCGAGGGGGCCACGAACATGGTCGACGCGATCTTTAGTCCCATGCTCAAGCTGCTGGGGGCCGGAGAGGCAGGAGAGGAGGAAGAGGGCCAGGACCGGGAAGGAGGCCAAGAGCTAGAGGTGGTGGCGGAACACGACGAGGCCGAGGCGGAGGAACACCAGCACCGCCCGGCGAACAACGAGGACCCGGCGGCCGAGGTCGAGGTCCCGCCGGAAGACGCCGCGGTCGTGGAAACCGACGACGGATCCTCGCAGGGAACCGAGTACGAGGACGAGGAAGAATTCAATCCCTACGCCTTTATCAAATCCCTTCCCCACTATGACGACGTCAAGTCGCTCTGCCCGGCCGATCGGTTGCCGGCCAAGCGGGACGATGCCCCTCCCATCACGCTCGTCCTCGACCTCGACGAGACCCTGGTGCACTGCACCGTCGAACAGGTCGACGACGCCGACCTCACCTTTCCCGTAGACTTTCACGGAATGACCTACACGGTCCACGTCCGGTTGAGGCCCTACCTCAACCAGTTTCTGGAGGCGATTGCCGACAAGTTCGAGGTCGTCGTCTTTACCGCGAGCCAGCAGGTCTATGCGGACGCCCTGCTCGATCTCATCGATCCGAGTAAGTGGCTTGGCTTGGCTTGGTTTGCTTTGATTCGATTCGGTTCGATTTGATTCGTTTTTGTTTTTGTTTGGTTTCCTTTCGTTTGTGTTGCGTCCCCTGCCTCCCGGTCGTCTCACAACTCTTGCGTGTCGCCCTGTCTTCCGGTTTCACCACAGATCACGAGTACATCAAGTACAGAATGTTCCGAGAGTCCTGTCTGCCCGTCGAAGGAAACTACCTGAAGGACCTGAACGTCCTGGGACGAGACCTAAAGAAAGCGGTCTTGGTAGACAATTCTCCCCATGCCTTTGGCTACCAGGTCAACAACGGAATCCCGATCGAATCGTGGTTCGACGACAAAAACGACACGGAGTTGCTCAAACTGGAACGATTCCTGCGCACCCTTCAAAACGTCGAAGACGTCCGGCCCGTCGTTCGGAGGACCTTCCGAACCTACGAACTAATCGCAAACGCACCGTAGAGACGAGGGACAGCATTCATACTCGTACACAGCAAATGAAGATGCCGTGCCATGCACACGCGTGGGATTGGGGTGTTCGCTGGTACACTACTGCAGGAGCACATGCGTCTTTGCCAAGTCGGTGGGCTGGAATCGAATCAGGTCATTTGGCGGGGGAAACTGACGATCGGTCCGCAACGATCCATGGTGAATACAATGGCAGACATAGTAGGACCGGTAACGAAACATTAACGAAAACACAAACAATAGGGACATCACACCGATATCAAAGTACTGCATACCGTACACTATTGACAAATTGCGATTAACTTTGATCTGTTGGAATACTTTCTATTCAGCTTGCACTCCGTGCTACGGAGACTGCGGCACTGGTAGTCCCGATTCACTCCTTTCGAACACCCATTCTGTTCTTCCCCAGAGAGTGAAATAGCGGGACTGCGAGCGCTGTGTGTTATCGCTTTTTTGGAATTTTTAGGAGATCCCCGAACGCTTGCAAATAATTAGATTGGACCATCCGGGGCGCACGCCTCGTTCCGTGCCGTCCGGTTCCCGGCCTTTCGATCAGCGACGGACCCGTCGTGCCTTTGCACCGCACATCCCATTGCGGCAGCGGCAACGCCTCGGAAGCGATTCGTTCGGTCGCTGGGAAAGGGATCCTTCGAGCCGCCAGGCGCCGTTTGGTGCTGTTCTCTCGTCGCCGGTGTCGGTCACGCCGTTCTATAAATGTCGGTCAGGACGTCGTCGATGTCGCCGAGCCGAAAGGGCTTCGAGATGAACCCCCTCGCTCCGGCGGCCTTGGCCCGGACCCGGAACTCGTCCAGGGCGTGCGCCGTCACAAAAATGATAATGGCGTCCGGGTCCCGCTCGGTGATCAGCCTGCAGGCCTCCATCCCCCCCATCACGGGCATCTGGATGTCCAGGAGGATGCAGTCGTACCGGGTCTTCGCCGAGACGTCCACCGCCTTTCTTCCGTTGTCCACCACCGTCACGTCCGAGATGCCGTAGCGGTTCAGCACGCGGGTCAGGACCTTTTGGTTGACGAGGTTGTCCTCGGCGTACAGAACCTTGAGGCCGTGCTGGAAGCCCTTGGAGGTTCCGTCCCTTCCCCGAGGGCTCCCCCGGAGACCTGCTGAAAGCGGGGGGCTTTCCCGGACCGGTCGCTCCTCGGACCCCGGACCGGTTCCGGCGATGGGGAGAGTTGCACCACCGGGGTCGGCATTTGCCTGCGCGGACACCTGCCTGGCAATGGAAGCCAGCAGCGTTACCGGGAAGAGCCCCGTGAGCGACTTCAGGTGGAAGGCCTTGGTCTTTTCCACCAGGAAATTCGTTCCGTAGGTGATCACGGCGTGTGGGTGCTTTCCGAACACGGATTCGAACGGTTCGGCAGAGCAGAGTTGGTACAGCGATTCGTGCACCAGAAAGGTAAAGTGCCCCCGCGGTGTCTGGGCTTTTTCCCGGGAGGTTTTGCTCTGGAGTCCTTCCCAATTCGTACAGCGAAGAACTCTCAAGCCATACGCTTCGACGACATCGACGTTGAGAGGCACTGGTTCCGCTCTGACATGGGATTGCACTGGTGAATGGTTGTCTTCCTGTTTTTGCTCCACTACTACGATCGTTGTATTCTTTAGGGAATTCGAAATCTTCTCGACATCGACACATTTCCCATCCATCGGTAGATCGACCGAGAAATCAGAAAACTTTCCAAGCACGGAATCCAATGAAATTTTTCCTCCCAAGCGATGCACGAGTTTTGAAGTAATGCTCAAGCCGAGACCAGTACCTCCGTAAATATTTTGTGTTTCTTTGCTGTTTGGTTTGGGCGTTGGAAAACGGAAAAGAAGAAAAAAGATAAGTGAATTAGACGTCGCAATACACTGCAGATGAAGGCTTCGACCGATCCACTTACCTTGCTTGGGAAAATGGCTGGAATATGGTTTCAAAATCTTTTTTGTCGATACCTTTTCCATAGTCCCTCACCGAAAATCTCAAGAAGACACGACTACCGCACTCCTCGCTGGTGGGGTTATCAGAGGAACTCGTTACCACCCGAACACTAAGATCGATTACACTATCTGGTTTGGAAAATTTCCCTGCATTTCCGAGTAAGTTGAATAAGACCTGCTGCAATCGTCTGTTGTCTGTCTCGATGTATTCAGGCACCGTAGGCTCGAAGTGAGGCCGGAGACGCACGTTCTTTTCTTTAAATTTCTGAGAAATCGAGTACAAAACACTATCGATGGTGTCTTGCAGTTTCGTTGGTTTGATGTCAACTTCAAAACTTCCAGACTCGAGCTTTGCGTAATCAAGGACGTCATCAACGACGGCTCTCAGTAACTCTCCACTGGTGTTGATCATACGAATGGAATCGGCATGCATCGGATCTATCGCAGGTCCTCCTGCGCTTTCGCTATCCTCCAACAACAAAGATGACATACCAACAATGCAGTTCAGGGGAGTGCGAATTTCGTGACTCATACAGGCAAAATGTTCGAGTTGTTTTGCTTTTTGGCCTGCTAGTTGAGCATTTGCCGATTCCAAATTTCGATTGGCTGTCGCCAATTCGTCTGTACGATCCTCGATCTGTTTTTCCATCGAATCAATCAATTCCCTGTGAAGCAAATCTAAGTGATTCGTCAATTTGACCTCTGACTTGCTATGCTCACCCAAAAGCACTGCATCGCGCTGACAACTGTGGATGGGTAGATCTGATATCGATAAATTCATGCTTTCAAGTTCTGATAGATTTTTCACATTCGGTGAGAGTGAAAGTAAAATTTGTCTTTTTGATAGCTCAATTATTGAGCCCTTAACCTTGGGTTTCTGATGGGATGAATTTTCATCGACTCCCTCCAGAAAAATGATTTGTTCTTTCATTTTTTCCAACAAATCCCAATCCCATTTTTTACCAAATGATGGTATTGGACCCGTTATCACGAAAATATCGCTGATGCATTTACCTATGAGTTCCCGATTCTCCATAAGATGCGATAGATTGTTACCAATTTGGATTATGTTGAAGTTTTCGTCAATCACAACATGGTAGGGAAAAACTTCCTTCACAAGATCACCCGAGAGCGCAATACTCGGTGGGTCGATCTTCCCAGACCCATACCTCGAGCGGCTTTTGACAACATTGATTTCAGCAATGGGAGGGGCACTCGACTTCGCAGTTCCAACACTTGCTTGCGAATTACCCATACTCAACGATTTCTTAGTCAACCCCGTTTGAGGATGTATTTTGTAATTTTCAAGATTAGATTTTCCTACCGGTACCTCGATAGGCATCTTTCTATTCGCACCGAAAGTCAAAAAACGATTTATTCTTTCAGAATCTTTCACGCTCGATCGTTTGCTTGAAGAAGCCATTGATCTTTCTTCATTCGATTGTGGATGTGTTCGATCAAGAGAGTCCGAGAACAAGTCTTTGAGGCCGTTAAAAAAGGGAATGGTGAATTTCGAGTTTTGTGCGCCGGCTAGAGGTAGCATTTTGCTGTTTGAATTTGTTCTCGTAGCCTTGTTGAGATTGCCTCCGCTGTGAAATTCTACACCCATTTTCGAATTTCGTAGCCTCCGAAACTCGCTCAATTTTCCCTGAAAGCGAGTACAATCCCCGTGCACAGAAGCTCGTCGCTGTACAGGAGACTTCATCTTATTGATATCCATCAATGGAACGCTCGAGAAGCCTCTTAGAGAACGACTTAAAGGTCGTCTACTCGTACTATCAAGTGGCGACGCATCATCCGTTTTCAGGTCTCCATGGGAATTAGAAGAAGTCTTGGTGGGGGCGAGACAAGAGATTTCTTGTAAATTAGAAGAAGACTCAGTCGTTACTCTCGATCTAAAGGACTTCGAATTGTTATTGGACAGAAATGAATCTCTCCTTCCACTCAAGCTTCCAGTAGTCTTGATTCCTGTTGGACTTGCTGTAGTAAAAAATGATGCATTTCTAATACCAGAAAGATTCATATGGTTCGGACGAGATCTCTTAGTACTGGAGAGTAGCCTATCAAGGGATGTTTCACTTCCTGATGTATACCTACGAGGTAGGGTGCGAGTTGATGCACTCTTTGGTATTCCGCTCAATCTTGTGTGGATGTCATCGTTTATGGAGTTTTGTAAGTTTGGGACGTGCTTCTCGATACAGCGAAGCAAAAGCTGTACAGGATTGCTCTTAGGAGCCAGATCAAAAAGATCTCTCGTGCTTGAATTTTTTAGATCATCAAGACTATAGGTTTGAACGACAGTTCCATCCAAACTACCATCCAATACTGCGCATTGTATCTCTTTGGTCTTATTTCTCACGCCTCTGACAATTTCGGGTGTCCACTTTCGAACTTGGGCACTTATAACACCCTTATGCTCATATATGCTTTCGTGAATAGTCAAGTCGGAATTTATGTCGACTACTAGATACTTGTATCTCCTGCTCGATTCATTGGTTATTTTCACTCTCATGTTTGACTCTGCAGTGAGAACGCTCTGGCTGATGGAATATGCATCATTCACACCTATAATTGTCTCTGTCCGTAGGGTACTATTATCGTTCTCATCGAGATCGCTTACGGTATCGGTTGCGAGAGCAGATTGATGAATACTATCATGCGACAAATCACGGCGATGTTTTGCAGTAGCATCTCGGTTACGAACTTTGTCATTGAACTCTTTCAGTACGGATTCGTCGACAGCTATTGCCGAAAACGGACACCGGAAAGTACCACTATGAGACTCGATCTTGGAAATATACGGATGATGAAATCCTTTCTTTGCAGACGATTCAGGCGGAATAGACTCAGACGACTTCGAATCTCCTATTGACGCAATGCATGGGCTTGTTAACCCCTGCAATCCATTCCCACCACCGTGTTCCACAAAATTTGAGGTTGGCATCGACATCGGATTAGTGACTATCGTGGTCATTGCCTTCTCTGAGCATTGTAAGACTAATTTTATTAAACCACCCTCCGGGCCAACAAGGTGGTACAGCCCCGTAGTAGTAGTTTGTTTCATATCATCGATCGAATATGTGTGGCAAGGCGCATTTACCTCGTCGTCCCATATTGAACATCGGATTTCGTGTGAACCATTTTTGACTTGCTGGCTCATTCTCTTACCCCATTTCCGCACGTTTGCCTTTTTCACTGAATTTTTGTCATAAATAGCATCGAATAAATTCAAATCATTCCGTATGTCTACAAGTAGGTCCTTGAAGAGGCCTGAAATTTGATTGACAATCCGCACTCTCAGTACAGTCCTAGCTGAAGTTATGGTCACGACGCTATCAGTGCATTCCATAGGCATTTTCTCTTGTTTTTTTAGCGAGCCTTTTCTACTCTCCGAGACCTCTCCGGATCCTTCTGTTGAATTTGTCCATGACATGGTTCGTTTTATAACAAACTAGTTGACACTCGTCTATCGCCGTGAAGTGATTATATCGAACGCAACGACTTGCTGCTTCCCACTGATTTCGGACTTCTTGCCACTGCCACTGCTGACAACGACGAAACCGAAACGTCAGATTCTTCCTCGTCCTCAATTCGAATTCTGATCTTCCTCGTCATGGAACGCTCAGACTCACAGGAAGGTGCGAGTTGTCGCGTGCTGAGAAGGTATTGAGTGCTTTAGGACTCTATCTATTCCTCTCGATTATTCTGGTTTTTGGTTTCGACGAAATTGAGATGGAAGGGCGTGTGTTACGTCTTCTATGCAATGCAGAAAAATTTTCGGCTACTGGTTGTATTCCCGGCGCGTGAGGCTAGTCGTTGTTATGCTTCGCTTGAGAAAACAAACAAATTAAAAAATGTATCCAGGCTATTGCCAAATGATTGCCTCGACATCCATCTGATCATACAACCTACCGAATATTTTTCCAAGTTACACAATCCTATTCATGCCTTAAAGGTACAATATGATTTCATTATTATTGTTTCGATTATTGCTTCAATGTTCTTTCTTAATATTATTTTCAATTCATTAAGTAAACAGGATTGAATGTTGGTTAAAGCCCACAATATTCACAAAGTATGTCTTGAACCGTCCATCCATGGTTTGCATTACCAACGAAAATAATAATTCCGGTACCTATTAGAGCTATTAATGGCAAGTCCCGTACTGGCAAGTTATTGGCAATTCCGAACCTCCAGGGCCGGCTGGCTTGCCTGTCATGCGCATGTACCCCCTGTACATTAAGTACCGTAGTACTAAACTTACGTAATATACGTACGTATTTTTATACAGCGAATCAGTACTGGAACTGCATCCAATGCTGAACCTCTACCGTACGTACTAAAATAACACGCAAAACAACACACAACACGCAAAACAACACACAACACACAAAACAACACGCAAAACAACACGCAAAACAACACACAACACACAAAACAACACGCAAAACAACACGCAACACGCAAAACAGCAGTGACACCAGCTTTCATTCATACTCCAGCAATTCGTTCATTCATACTCAAGGGACTGGCGTGCGGAGGCTTCGATACTCAAGGAACTGGCATGCGGACGCTTCGATACTCAAGCGAAACGGCGATTAACTGTCTCATACTCAAGGGACCGG